TTTCCAAAACCCACACAGATTTTTAGGTATTTCGACATTTTCTCCCTTATAAAAACACATCTCCACAAAAATAATACCATATTCGGAATCAGCATAAAAAACTGCATCGAATGGTGTATAACTCATCTAGTCTCGGTTGCTTGATTTTGAATTCCAGAAATTTCGCAGTTTTTGAGATTTACATAAACAATTTCGTGCTGAAAATTTGAATTTCAAGATAAAGGAACCTGAACGACTCGAAACATATTTCTTATAGGTTTTGGACAATGGTCTTTCCAGTGGCATCATTTTTAAATATTGAGAAAGTTTTCTGAAGGGTTTTCCAGAGACTGGATCTCTGGAAAACTCCTTAAAAAAGCTTTTCAAAGCCCAGCTCTCATGCCATTAGAAAGAGGATCATGAAAAACCTATAAAAAAATGGTTCATGAAATTTTAGTTCACTCATAAAGCTAAAGTCCGCCTGCTCTAGCAAAAAATGCCCACTGTGCACTCGTTCCTGCTTTTAAGGTTTCATCCAATACTCCCGGAAAATTCGAAAAGTTAGGTCAATGTCACGTTCTGATCTACGAGAAGAGTTAAAAATACCTGGGATGTATGAAAAGTATTATTTTGAATCCATTTTTGTAGACTATGACCCCGAATGTCAGTTATTTGGTTCTTTCCCTAACCCGCTACTGTTGCATTAAAATCTCCTGTTATTATCGTGTTTTTAATTAGATATGGACAAAGATCATTTAGGTCTCGTTTTTGGCTGTGTGACCAATAAATACCGATCACTCGAATGTTTTCAGATAGTCCCACTAAATCCGCAATTACTGTATTTGCAATATTTGTTTCGACTCTTGTTGCTTTTAAATGTTTTCCAACAGTTACACAAACTCCGCCACTATGATTACTACCTTCCTGGTGGAACGTAACAAAATCAGGTACTTTAAAACTTTTCCAGAGCTCTCCTACTTACGTGCAAACACAAAAAGACACATCCTTACCGTGAACTAAGTCCACTACCTCCAGTGAATGAGTACCCCATCCTTGTACATGGAATACAAGAAAATTTAAGGGAATATGTTGACTTTGAAATGAGCGACTATTTCTTGTCCCCAAAAATTCTCATTCCCGCAGAATATTATCTAATGTGCTACTAGAATACTATTCCGATAAAAGTTCTGTTACATTATTTAGTGTTTTTTCGGGTATTTTACAATGAATCATTCTTTGTTTAGCAATTTCTAATGGGTTATTCAGAAAGGCAAAAAAACGGGGGCTAATGGGTTCATTTTACTTCTTACTCAAGTAATTAAGTATTTGTCTTTTCGGCTGATTCTTTTCCATCCTTGACTATCATTACTGATGATGTTGTTACAGGGTTTGAATTCACTTTGACTGTTTCTGATAATGATGATGAGTTTATATAGTTTGTTTCATCCGTTAAGGTTTCCATGTCAAATTTATAATTTAGACGTAAATTTTCTTCCATGATGATAAATCTTTTTGCATAATTTCTGTTTTTTTAATCATTACTTCTTCATCTTTCGTCACTAACTTTAGTAATGACAGCACCACTTCTCCCATTAGATTAGCTATTTGGTCAATAACTCAGATGTGACTAATTTATTTAATCTAATATTTTCTTCATTTTTTCCAGTTGTTGTTTTCCGGTTGTCTAATTTCTTGTTCATCATTTCTAAATTTTTATTAATTTCCTTTAACACATTGGCTACTTCATTTTTATTGGTATTGTTATTTCTATCTATTTTTGGTGTATTCCACCTATTTTCAATATTTCTATCCATTTTAATCAATGGTAGAAAAGCATTTACATTCTATTGATATTTATTTGTTTTAATTGTGTATTATAGTTTAAATCACCATTTCGGATGGCTTGTTTCACTTCTTTATTTAATTCTTAACGATGTTTTTGCACCGTAGGACAAATTCCATCCAATGAGAAATGATTTCCCCCACACCGAGCACATTTAAACTGACCTTCACATTCATTTCTATGATTATTCGTAAACTCGCCTAAACAAACTCGACATTTTGGATGATGGCTATTACAATTTAATGCTGTATGCCCTAATATATAACATTTCAAACAAAACGTGAGTTTATTTGTGGGTAAATATGGGGTGACAGGTAGTAGACGATTACCCACTGCTAATTTTCCTAAATGTAATGTTTCATAATACTCCTCCAAAATCGTTAACGTTAAACCGATAGTCTGTTGTTGTTCTGACATATGCATATACGATTGGATTACAATCTTGAGCACTGGTAATTGATTTCTTAATTTCATTAAATACAAAATCAGGTGGAAAATTTGTCGGCAGATGGCGTATTACTAATGAAAAAAGAGCCGCTATTGATTATGGTTTAATCACTTTAATATTTTTATTGAAAATTGATAATGGCCATTTGTTGGTCATACATAAATTATAGAGATCATTTTTATTGTATACTCCTATTTTGAGTTGTTTACCCGCATAACTGACCAATGAAAATTTATTTATATTAACACCATTCTTAATGAAATGTTTGTAAATTTCACTTCCTGCGATAACTACTGAAGGTAATTCACGAGCCGGTAAACTATTATCGAACTGAACATAAAAGCATGGTAGGTTATGCGTTACCGCTCTTTTTAGCTGTTGGAATGGAATTAAATAGCCTTTATTTATGTTGAGTGGTGGTTTCTGAGGAGGACGATATGACTGGTTTTGATATGTCTGTGACGATTGTTTTTCAATCAGTGTCCGACGATTATTATCCGATCCTTCGTAGAACTGGTCATAATTTTGTCCCTTACTGTTATTGTCCTTACATCTCAACTTTTTCTGTTGACTAGATTGAAATGTTTGATCATTTTCAAATTCTCTTTCATTCCTTTTTGTATTTGGAGTGGAAGTTCTGTGTTGTTCTATTTCAATAACTGGAGAATTTTGAACATTAAAACATTGTTGTATTTCATTATATAAAACATCTTTTGAATGGGTTACTATCAGATCCGTATACTGTGTCTGTTGTACGTTTTCGTTATCATAAGAATCCTGCCGAACATAATTATAATTACCGTTGTCATATACATTCTGACTATTTCTATTTTTGTTAACCATATCATTTCTTTGTCTATACTGGTTGTAAGGATGAGGTCATTTTTCAAATATATTATTTTTTTTAACATATACGCCCTGCACTGCATAAGTGAAAGCAGCGTGTATATTGTAAATATATAGAATTTGTGGGTAAGTATATACTACAATCCGTTCCAACTAATACGGTGGTCGTGAGTGTTTTCCTAATAATTTTTCATAGAGACGAGATAGCAACCCGCGGTTTTCACTATTAAATAACATTTTTTTTTCTGCGGTTTTTACATTAAATAACATGTTTTCGTAAGCAGAAACTTGTTTCAAAATTTTCTTTAAGTCCGATTTTCTAGAGGATCTTCGGAAAACCAACTCCGTTCGCAGACAACTAGCAACAATGTTACTGACTTTTTTGCACAGGTAGTCTGAACGTTACTCTACATTAAAAGATAGGCACATGCTCAATTTCAAACTGTGACCGGCAGAAATTGATAAAATAGTCTTAGATTTTTTAGAAACAGCTGTTTTGAAATTTTAAGCATACCATTAGATTCATCGTGAAATTCTGCGTCTTTATATGTAGCTCGTAACTTATCGAAAGACAGATGGGCCAGGAAATTTTGTGATTTAAAAAATGTGGAATTACACAAAAAAAATCACTTTTTCTGACAAACGTTTTCAACTTATATCTTCGAGTTTATGAAAAATTTGTTTTCATTTTTTAAAGTGAAAGATACAGCAATATGTCTAGCATTGAATTCTGCATTTAACGGTGTGGATATAAACTTTTTGCACACTAATGTGGTTCTGAAAAATCCATTTTCCCGAAAACGTGACGGAAAGACCACCACCTCTCAGTTTCTAGCCTATTTCTGTCAAACCATAAAGGCAAAAATTTTGAAAAGAATGTAGAAATATAGAGAACAAAATTGCCTTTCGATTCATGCGAAATACTTTATGCTTACTAGCAAACATCATCTGGAAAAACGGAGTACGGATCGAACAGATATCCAGAAAAACGTCAGATAGGAGTTTGAAGATTGAGCACGTGTTAATCTTTTAAATTTTATGATTAGAAAAAGAATGTATTTGAAAAACTGAAATGGGCCGTTTGGTACGGCTTTCAATTCTCTATGGAATGAAGTCTGAGCCAAGTCTCCACATTAAAGGGAAGTACCTCGAAAAATAGGAAAATACTTTGACCCGTTTATGACGGCTCACCTGTTATAGCGAAAAGGATAGTCAGCGGTTACGCATCACCGCACTTTAAATTACTGCTTTCAAAACATTCTTCTCACTTCACAATCAAACCAAAGGTCACTCATCTCCACTTTAAAAATCACTTTCTCCCAGCAAAAGCTTTCTGATGAGATTTTAATACTAAAGACTTTTCGAATGGTTCGTAAACCATGATTTTCTCCATATCTTTTGCTTAAAAAGCGACTATACACGCATAAAAACAAAAAATTAAGTTCAAATTCGAAATCAGCATGTTAAAAAACGTACACACGGTTATTTTCAGCTCAAAATAAGCAAACGAAGAAAGGCAGAAAACAATAGGTAAAAGTGAGGTTTGAGCCTTCGTCTTTCTGCACCGAAATTCCAAACACTACTGCATGGCTGAGTCAGTCGTCTCACTAGGTCATCTCTGTAACTCAGAGACACGATGCCACTAGGTCACTGACCTACTGACGTCACAGTTTTCTCAGTGGGTAAAGCGGATCCATTTAGATGGGTCACTCAGTAGGTCACTGACCTACTTTATTTTTTACCGTGTATCTGAGTTCGCAGCGAACTGATGTTCAGCACAGTATGCCATATAATGATACTTGCAGTTTTCTTCCGTTATAAGAGTAGGGACTGTTGAATTTGGAATTTCCTTAGATTAACACACTCGAAGAAAACGTTTAAACGTTAATTCGAAAACTTTGGATTGTCGTCTAGTTTATTGAGTTTTGAGCGTTTAACTACTCTGACACTAACATTACCACCAATACTTTGGGATCTTAGCATTCTTGATTGCTGTTGTGATCTACCATCTAATCGTTTCGGAGCGTTAATCTCAACCATCTTCAATTGAGATGTTGTTGGTGTGCAGGTAATTCTATCTTCTGATGGTTTTGAACGCTTTACTCGACTTACATTGACTTCACTAAAAATACTTTTAGATCTTGGTTTTCCTGTTGATTGTTGATGATCTGGAATATTTTTTATTAAACTACTTGATAAATCAACATTAGTCTCGTATAATTTAAGCGGAGATGTTTTGATGGTATCAAGGGATGATTTTGAACGTTTAACTCTCGTTACACGGGCATTACTGACCACACTTTTGGACCTCGGTCTTGTTACTTGTTGTTGATCTAACGTACTAATATTGTTCGATTTATTATCGATCGAACTTATACGCGATTTTAAACGTTTTATTCGTATAACACTGACACGTTTTAAAGACTGTGATTTTGTCCGTCGATTAGCATGTCCGAAAACTATGTTGTCATTGTTTAACTTTGAATGACTGATTCTTGAGAATGTTAGTTTCGTTGAGTTCATTCCATGTTTGTCAACGTCGCTTTTAAGTGTATTTGTACTATTACTCGAGTACGAGTAGACTTTATAGCTTTTCATCCAATGTCCTGAAACTGCCCGATGAACACCACTTTCATCCACATGCAATGAATATTTTTTTTGACACTTTTCCTCTTTCTTTTTTCGACGACGACGTCGACCAGCACCCCTACAACAAAGAAGTGGAAAACAAACAGAAAATTTGTAGTACAGATCACCCACCAGAACCAATAATACCAACAACAGCAATAGCAAGCTAAAGCAGCAAGTAGAACTACCAAGGATAAACCAATTACTAACGACAAATTGATATCCGGTGACGCTTGGTCTAGAAGAAAAGAAACAGAACCACAAAAAATGACTACTCGCTAAGGCTCTACGTGAAACTGGTGTAGTTATATTACTGATTGTAGTATTGGATAGACTAGAAGAAAGAAAAATAATCATTTTCATGTTAATTAGAGCTATCGCTGTCAAATCTATCGCATGTAGTAGGAAGTCACCTGCTTAAAGAACTTTTATCCATTCTATTCTACCAAGTCTTCGATTATGGGGTGAGTTAAAGTGTAATGTATAACTGAGCTATGTCAAAATCCTTGCTAGGCTCAAATATATAAATACACGTACATTTTTTTCTTCTTGGCTCCTAGTATTTCACAGTATAAGAAAAACAACAGAATCGAATAATTCGAACCGTTTTCCGATGAACTGCGGCTGTTTTCCAAAGTAAGAGTACTAATAAAGCTTCTTTCAGTCCCATATCGACCGGAGATGTTGCTGTCAAGCTTCTAAAGACTCTCTATGTTTACCTTGTTGTTGTTGTTGTCGAGACAGGGCATGTTGAAGTATAATTAAGATCAACGAAAAATGTAAAACAATATGTTGGAGATTGAACGTTGTTACTGAAATACAGAAATAAAGCACTTTGATGTCAGAAAACCATCTCGAGTGAAAGTTAACGTTGCACAGTGTTCAGCAGGTAAAATTTGTCGCTACTTTTGACAAGCATTGTCGTTTTTCGTAAAGAGCTTAAAAAAACACATGCTCTCTGTGTAGGATCTAAATTTAAGGATCTGCTCATTTGATAACAGTTTGCTTGTATCTTGCTCAGCTCTTAAAATGAATTTCAAGCACACTTCAGATCTTGTCAGGAGGCCTAAGGGATATATTGAAACACATTCTCAAGAATCACACATCATTTATTTATATCCGAGTTATTCTTTGAAATTTCAGACTCCATTCTTGAAGAGAGATAGCACATAGAGATAACCAGGAGTGAGTAAAATTCGAAACTACTGATCTCATGTGATGTTACTTTTCCCTTACCTAGCAAGAGCTATACCACATAGCACTTGCGAGCCTAGCTGCGAGCTGCTTGGCGTCCATGAAATATTGACTGAATATGTATTCGTTGATAACTGAGTCACATCATCTGATTTGATTAAACCTGAAAATGCTAGAAGAGCTATATCCGTGATAGTCGTATTAATACAACCAATGACGGCAACCAGTTGTGTCTCAAATGGTTGACCAACTTGAACTGGGATACATGATCCGTTAACAGGCAGACCGGTTATTTCAGGTCTCGACGGGCAAGCAGGTGTCGCGTAAACATAGATGAGAAACTGGAGTGGAACCGAAGACATGGGTAGTGTTGAATTTAGATCAAAAAAATCTTCGATCTGTATAGCAACTGCATAGTATGTGTTGCTTATGGATCCGTTAACTAGTAGAGTACAATTGTCTTCATATAAGACAGGATCAATTAGCGTGAGAGAATCGGGTGCACAAACATCTTGACATTCATTAGCACCTAATAGTCCAGTTAGATTCGCCCATCGACATCGAAGAATATCATTTGGATTCGAATCTAGAACAGGAATGATTATTTGTTGTTGAACATATTGTTGGATATAGATCGGAGATGGTAAGTTCGAAACGGGTGATGTGTTTAAGGAGCATACAAAAAGGTTATCCAGGCATACTTCAAGAGGCTATACTCGTTCATCTACCTGCGCTAAAGTTGTTAAGATAGGTTAGCGATGTTATGCAGGAGTATGGGAAAGACAAAATATGGCGCCATTTCCATGGCAACACACACATCTCACTGTTTCACTTTGAGGAGGCTTATTTGTTTAAAGGTTCGCATTATTTATGTGCCATCCAACAAATGCTTGCTGGACGCCGATTTTGCATTCCCCTATATCACACCGTCAGGTCTTACTGTTAAATCAATATACGCCACTAGACTCCATCCAGGCCAAGTAGCATTAGTCGGCGTTATGCCTAATTGAATCCACGTGTAATAGGTCCACCGAATAACAAATTTGGACCCAATTTTCAATGTTTCCACATCCGACCGTTGTCCAACAGTCACCCCCAACGGAATACTATAGCCTATACACTGACCCGTAATCGAAAGTGATGTATAACCAGTTGTTGCACATGATCCGGCAAGACAACTTAATGTACCTGCTCCAACGAAATATGTTTGAGCTGTTATATTTGGTGCTGTACATACCGCTGATGAATACCGAAAGGTGTAGGTCTGAATGATTGTTATGTTAATTGTTGTATTGGCTGAAGTTTCCATTGTCGGTTTCCACACAATACTCCCTCCACGAAAATGCGTTGCTTTAACAACTGCAGGATCGCCCAAAAATGCACACAAGATTAAGATGAGCATCGTCTACTCACATTACAGTTCCAAAAACTACATGACTATGCCATACTGTACTTGTGTATATACTTGAATAAAATCAATTAAATCTCTCTTTTCAATATTATCATATGTGCCATTTTAATTAAAAAAAAGTGTAAAGAAAATTTTTTATAGTATGAAATCATAGAACTGTATATAAAATTGAATAGAGAGAAACAAAAAAAATTCAATTTACTTTTCTCTTTTTAACAAGATTTGAATAGTTGTGGTTTCTTGCTTTAGGTAAGAAAACAAATCATTATCTTTAATTTGAAATCGGCTTTTGCTATCCGAAAATAATATGATACTAGATGTATGAGGTTCTTTTTTACTCCTACGTGTTTTAATGTGCATACAAGGAATGATATAACGGATGGTTCAGATAAAACCGGTCACTTTGTTCTTTGTTTTTGAGGCACTTCGCAGTGGTCCAAAGAGTTGGTTCTAGGCTCATTCGATAGAGAATGGAATTCTCTACAAACCTGCTATTTAAATCTTCGATAGCATTTTTCTCGTTTGAGCACCATTCAAAATATTGAATGATGCTGAGTTGTCGAACTGCGACGTGCTTCCGTCGTCTCCTTTTTTTCGATTTTTAGCTCATTGCCAGAGGTTCAACAGTTAATTTACTTTCAATCCATTTTTGGATCAAGTCAAATATTTTTCTATTTTCAGTCTGTCGCAGTTCGACAACTGAAAACGAGAAAAATGCTATCAGAGATTTAAATAGCAGGTTTGTAGAAAATTTCATTCTCTATCGAATGAGCCTAGAACCAACCCTTTAGACCACTGGGAAATGTCTCAGAAACAAAGAACAAAAGTGGCCGGTTTAATCTAGGTCACCCGTTATACAGTAACGTATATACAGCAGGTGGAAAAATTATTGGCGTACTCTTATTTTTTAATTTTCTCATTAACCAACTAGAATAATTTTGAAAAAATACTTGAACAGCTAAAAAGATTTTTGAAATGATATGGTTATATAAAGGTACCATCAAAACTCCTAAAATCCAGGTCTCTAAAAAACCAAGCTCTCTTGTTCGAGGTAGAATTCTTTGCAGATAACTCCATTGTATAGAACAAACATTTCTGAACAAATGAGACTCTCCGAAATCTCTACAACATTTTTTCATGAAACAGCAGTCAATCTACGAAAGGCACTAAGGGGGTATCTTTATTGTTTTCTTGTTGATTTCGGTGGTGTGGTAGAAAACTCCATATCAGTGAACGTCTTAAAAATTTCTGAAAAGCGTCAATATTTTTAAACTTATTTAAAGGATTGATAAAACGGAAGTGTAAGCTTAAAACGGCTTCGAGATAGTGTTTTGCTAGAAAACGTGTCAGAGTCATGTGAATAACACATATCACTACTGAATTATTGCGAAATCTTATGATAAGGACTCGACCAAAAATAATCCAATTTTCAGTGTTTTCACAGAAAATTAAAGAATTCATACTTCAGTCAAAATTGATCCCAATTGCTTCAAAATATCAACATATACTCTATTTTATGTACTTAATCGTATTTTGCAGTCAAAATTAGTGCGAAACATTCACTTAATCCCAAAGCTTATACGGCTAATTTCTTGATCTGGAAAGAATTATTTTAGAAATATGAAGGGCTCGTCAAAAAAAGCTGGCGACATTTTTTAGTAGTCAACTGCTTGTTCTGTTCATGCGCATCATAATCGCAGTACTGAAGAAAAGAAATGCCCCTAGTGAATGTACTTGAATTTGTATAAGAAATAAAAGAAAATGACGTACTTGTTTCGTTATAATCGTCAGAGAATTTCTCTTCTTTCTTTGGTTTCTAAACTCTTTCGGTCCATAGTACACAATATGACAGAAAGATATATCAATCAATCTTCGTCGAGCACCTATAGCTCAATTTCTCGCTCTCTATTCTTTAGGTCTCATGTTCGAATCCGCCAGTCGCCGTCATTTCGTAAGTAATAATTGTTCTGCTACTTCTAGGGAGAAGAATAGAGATATTTTGAAGGAAATGTATTAGATTCTTTTTGATGTTGATTCACATGCTGCCTTTGTTTCAGATAAAGATAGACTTTTCGTCTGTTAAAACTTCTATCTGAGCTGAGCTATAGCTAGCTATTTAATGTTAGTATTCGTTTGTTTGTTCTGCTCATTTCAGCTCTTGACAACAAACGCATGCGTGGTTTATAGTACGGAGATTTATATGTCGACAAATTATGTATTTTTCTCTTTTATATTTACACACTTAGTGATTGTGAAGTTTGCTTAGAGATCGTATATTAACGGTTACGAAAGTTTGATTTCGATGACAGCATCTCATGAATGCAAATACTCGAAAAGAAGAAAAGACAAATATTTTTCTTTCGGTCTAGTTTCTTCCATCATTATTTTTATTTTACATGAACAACTTGGTTTTCTTTCATTTTAAGATAAGATGTGCACAAGGTAGATTGTAATGAAGAGAATAAAATCGAAAGAATATAAAACTTTTTGCGTTAGTGATATTCTCTTTGTCTCTTCCATTCAGTAGTTAATAAACTTTTGAAACTGTCAGCCTTGTAGATTAAAGATTTCTCTACAAAATGAGATGTTTACCAGCTCTTCACCAGTTTTTCTGATAGAGTTATAATCATTTTGGACATGAAGGTTCTATTAATCATATAGTAAGAGGTAAACTTTTCTGTTCATGCGACATGACTCTTTTACACTTTTCAGCCAGACTAATCTAAAAGTTGACCATTTTTAAGTATTATAAGATTTCTATATGAAATAGAAATCGTTTTTCCTGTAAATTACTAGAAATAATTATAGCAGTATGCTTACTTCAATTACAAAATAAATTTTCGAAATTCTAAATTAAAATTTTTTTAAAAAGCTTAGAAGTCGTATAAAAGATCCTGGACTTGCTAAATTGTTAAAATTAAATATTTCCTATAATTCACGAGTGCTACTGTATAAAACTATGATTGAACAAAAAAAGCAACCCTTATTAGCTGCATAAAATTAAAATCGTCAAAAATTAAAAGAAGTAAAATTATAGTACATTAATAAATTCAAATAACTTTTAAGAAGTTGAAACTCAAACAAAATGCATTCATAGGTAATCAACTATGGTGCATTCAATGGACATATGTCCAGGATTCTCAAAGGATCTTCAGAAAATCTCTTCGGAAATATCGGCATTTTAAATTGAAACAAGAAATCTTAAGGATAAATAGATGACGTCGTGCCTAATGAGCACATAGTCAGTGCTTTTTGAGGATTGCCAGCGGGTTTCTAGAGGATCTTCAGACATTTTTTTGCCATTCAAGCATAAACAAAGTTCATAAACTTATCGTAGTCCATGTCGTATATAACTCGTTTGTTTTAGTTTTAAATGTGAATAAATCCAAAAAGGTTTTCTAAGGGTCTTTTAAAAGTCTTCTGGAAACCTGCATTATCCAGTAGTTGAAAGCGTCAAAGTTGATTATCTATGAGAGCCTTTTGTTTTAGCTAAAGTCTCAATGTTTATCAAAAAACATTTCTATCCTCTAGAAACCCGCTCGTAATCCTCATAAAGCACTGATTATTTGTTTCAACTTGAAATCGCGATATTTCTGAAGAGATTTTCTGGAGATCCTTTCAGAACTACGAACATATGATTGATTACTATAGTTGATTACCTATGAATGCACTTTGTTTACAATCGATATTTCGAGGTTTTGAGAAACTACAACAAAAATCCGCAGGTAGACGATTTTGTATCATACATTTGTACGACAGCATTAACGATAGAATATACCGAATTTTGAAAGAAATCCATCTTGTACATCCAAATTCATAAGCAGTCCGGCTGAGAAATGTAAACGAGTCATGTGTTCTTCTCGTCCATTGATTTCGGAATATCAAAAACAGAAAACGAACTGTTGCAACTTCGTTGTACTCCTCACCTTCTAATAATTGCACTCTCCATCCAAATAACTTGTCATATCTGTTTTCCCTACATAATAGGGCACCAGATGAAAAAACTCCCAAGGTTTTATCAGATATTGATCATCAACAATAAACTAATCTCGGACAAAACTCTATAGTTTTATCTAACTGTACCATTTCGTAAAGTTCTTGTAATTTTGAAACAATTAGATCAGCATCCTCTCGATTTTTCTTCCGATTTTGATTGGCTGCAGAAGGACCATTTTCATCAGCAGATACATTAGATAGCAGTGCACATTAATATTTTTCTACAAATATTAAACAGAGCGTGTAAATGAACTTCAAATAGAATGGCTTCGTCAAGCACGTCTAAACTATTCGAAGTTATCAACTCCATTTTAAAATGGAAACTGGAATTAAAAAACGTGAAAATATGCGAATTTTCTCAGAAAAACTAAGCCAGAAGTGGAAGTTAGTCAACGATATACAACACAGTAGCATCAGCGGAGTTGTCATATATTCGTTCTCAAAGAAAACTTCCCATTTCAACCGCTTTTGACAAAATACTCTTTTTCAAAAATGCCGGAACGGGCTCATCACTCGACTGAATTTCTGACACCGATTACGAATATGACAATCACACATCCCCAAGCAAAAGAAAAAATCGATAAGCTAGCTCATCGTAGCCCAGGTCCAAGAAAACGGCATCGTTAACGGCCCGTTAACTGGCTGTTAACGGTAAGTTAACGTGCCGTAAACGGATCGTTTTTAGTTTCTAAACGGACCGTTTTCAGAACCTAAAACTCGTAACGTTTTAGGATCTTAAACAGATCGTTTTTTCACCGTTTACAGACCGTTTTCTAAACGTTTTCTTACCATTTACTACAGTTTATTCCAGTGCATCTACATAGTGTGAAATATGATGGAGGAAAAACGAAAAACACACATATTAGATTCTTTAAACTGTAAACAGGCCGTTAACAGCCAGTTAACGGACCATTTTTTACATACATGATTATAGATACTTTTGACCGTAAATAGGCCACTAACAGCTAGTTAACGGACTGTTTTTAGGCCGTTTT